TTTCTTTCTCCCCCCCCCCCCCCTGTGGCTGATATGGTTTATTGAGTTTATGATTCTATGATCTAGAATTTAATGTTTATGTTAAACGGACTGTGGATGTTTTAATTAACCTTGGTAATATCATGCATGCCATGGAGAATCGTCAGGTTGCAGCTGGGATAGAGATGCAATAAAGAAATAAACAAACTCAGGAGATTCTAGCCATTACTGGCTAACCTTATCACATAACTGCTGAGAAGCTGATTTTTTATCACCGACTTGATCGCCTGGTCTTGAGTCACACTAACTGAGCTTTGCATGTAGCATGCATTGATTGAGTGACTGATTGATTGAGTACACCGAGTTCTATGCCACCCAGTCTCTGGACTACCTACTGGCAACTACCCAAGTCTTTAACTTGCCTGGCTAAGAATGCTTCGAGAACTCAGGTAGTGGGCCCCATTTTCATGGAACTTAGCATCAGAACGTCAAGGCCCCTTCTGTGGTCTCTTCTGCCAGCTCAGTTCCCAATCAGCACATATGTAATACTAAGGAATACCCCAGTTTGGATCCCTGGACACTCACTTTAAACCCTAGCTGATAGTCTTATTCCCCCCTCTCAAGAGAGAGTCACAATTCTTCTTTGCTTCTTTGCATTTTTAAAATATATTAGATATTGTTAGTCAACCAGCCATCTGGCTAGTCCTTCACAACTCAAGTTCACTTGTCAATTTGATTGGAAGATGCAAGAGAAGATAAAGAATAAAATCCATTAGACTCGAGGTGGTTAACAAGTAACACCAATTTTATTTCAGGGAATGAGAGTTACACATCTTGAAAGTTTAAAGAAAACATGTGGCATAAAAATAAGAAACACAGGATTTCTAGGGCATTTTCCTCTACTCTCCAGAAAGATATGAAACTAAGTAAGTTCTATTCAGGGTCCTTCATTCTACACCATTTTCTGAAACTGAGCCCAGCCCATGCTCACAAGAAAGAGGAATGAAGTAACAAATCACAGTTTCATGCTGTATCTGAGGAGGATTCACAATCAAATTAAATTGAAAAGTGAATCCTTATCACTTATCAATTTAATTTGAAAAGAAATAGTTAATGTCTGGAAACAAAGCATAAGAAGAGAAGGGAAACAATGGGGAGAGGTCAAGATGGTGGGTATGGCCTTGAGAGTGAAGCCCCATCTCCTTTGGAGATGTGTGCAACTTGTGTGCAACGCACGTACAAAAAGGGAAGGATTCCGATTGCGACACTGCACCCACCATCTCGCAAATTTTGATCCCCTCTGCAGACAGAAGAGAATGCGAATGCAAGCATCACCTTGTTCCTCCAGTAAACTTACACTGCTATGTGATCTGAGCATCGAGCCTCTGTCCACTTGAAAAATGGAGCTAGAAGACCTAGCAAGGGAAGGGGGCAGAAAACATAAAGGTATTGACTCCTAGATGATAGATTATAACTTACAAAGAGAATCACACCGCCAGACCTTGCCTGGGTCAGAGGATTGGATGTCCTACTAGAATCCTACCTTAACCTATATCTTTTTCTAGCGTGGGCATCAAGTTAAGGAAAGTAACTCCAGCTTTTGGGAGCTTCCCTTTCACAGCTTTTTTTCTGAGCTATTCTGTTCTCGTTCTTGCCACGAGATGTCAGCAAAGACCATAGTTTTTCCTACACAATGTTCATTTTCTCTGAAACTAAGTGAAACCCCATTGACACTTTTCTTTTCCTTACTGTCACTTGAGGGTGTCTTTCTTCCAGTATTACTTCGTTGAAGGAAATACCAGAATGCTCCCACACATGTACAGACTTCTCTCAGGAGGAGAGGTAGCTGACAAGCTGTATTAAATTTGCCAAAACTGCAATAGTCTTGACCGTTTTTAAGATGGGATATTTATGAATGTTCTGTGACAGCACAATCCAAGAGAACTTGCTGCAGTTGCATTGGGACCGGCAAGGAAATGACCACCCGCATATACAGTATATCTAGTTGCTGAACTAACCTATTTGCTGGGTTTACACAACACACTGAATGATAAAGAACCAAACAGGCTTGGTTTGCACTACATGCTAAGCCCACACACACCAAAATGAAACTAAGATGGCCACTAACCAAGATCTGCATATTGCACAAATACAGCCTGTGGGTCTATCTGACCTAATTAAGTGTGCGGCCCGAATACTGCCAATGTTTGAGAGTCACTTTTTGTGAGATGGGCAGTATCTGAATTTGAAATATAAATAAATAAATAAATAAATAAAAATTTTCTTCGGGCAGTGCAGAAACCACTTGGCACTGGGTCCAGAATCTAGACTCTTGATAATCTCAGGTGGAGACCATTGTTTCATTTTCTTTCATTTTTTTTTTTTTAAAAGGAAGAAAGAAAAGAAGCCCTTAGGATACTTATCTACTGAAACTTCAGAAGTCAGAGTGGTTGATGGGCAAGATTTCCAAAATTTAAGGGTGAAGTGCTGATTCTTCACGAACCCCCGTCTGCCACTCTGACTAGCAACACAAAGAAAGTTTCAGTGAATAATTTTAAAAGAGGGTAGGATAAATTAGCCAAAATAAAGATATGTTAATTTGTTCAAGGAAGCATTTGTTTTCTACAGAACACAGAATTTAACTTTTGATGGTGCAGACTTTTTCTTTGATTATTTTATGCTTAGTCACACAGCTCCGCACAGAACCTTTTTGGGGATCTTATCTTAGCTGTTGGTCAAAACTCTCGGCCACTGAAGCAGTGACAAAAGGATATCCTGTAGTGTGGCTTTGACCCAGCACAAAGCGGCGATGAAAAAGAGACAGAGGCCGGTGACGAAAACAGCATTGAAGAAGACCACCTCTGACATCTTCAAATGAAACTGTCCCACCGTCGTTTCTGGCCCACCATCCTGGACATTAGAATGAACGCCAGCCCAGTGAGAAGCTCTGCAGCGATGGACACCCAGGCAAAGGCCAAGGACCAGCCAAACTGGATGTTGAGATATTCCAAGAGACTCTTCCTCCCCAGAAGAAGGACGGCTTCCTTGAAGGCGGCAGCAGAATAGGCGATATAGATGCTGACCCCAAGGAGGGTAACGAGAGCTAAAAAGGACACAAACAGAGTCTGATGCCTCCACATTGGAGAACTGTCTCCACAAATCACTGTGCAGATTCTGAAGACTAGAAGGAATTTGCTCATTGTAGCCATGAGTTCACGAGTACAGAGCTTTTAATGATTTGTGCTTTTATAATCACACCTTCCTTTCCAAAACAGAATTACCACCCCAATCCAGACCCATATTTACCCTCACAGCAGCTCTGCAAGATAAATTAAGCTTAGAGAGCATGACTGGCCCATGCCACATTGGGATATAGCCAAGCGGATAGTTGAAGATTTGGGGCTTTGTTGACTGTTTCGCCCTTCCTTCAATTGTCACCCTCCAGATCTTTTGGAATACAATTCCCATCATCCCTATCCTGGTTGCTCAATGGTGTGCTGACTTAGGTGACAGGAGTTATAGTCCAGTGCACCTGAAGACGGCCAGATCAGAGAAACCTTCAGCATGTCCTGTGTATGTCAACTACCCTAGAGTATTTCACATTTAAATTTTCTTTTGTGAACCTTTTTCTTTCAGGAACAGTTATGGTGGGATGGAAAGAAGGCAGGAGAGCATGCAGACTTGATTTTCACAGGTACGGTTTTCTCATTAAAGAGAATCCAAGGCATGTGTAACTTCTCCTCTCAACATGGTTTACAAGTCAGGGTAACCGTTAAGCACCTGTTACCTAGAAATTACTATTTGCACAAAACCTGGCTTCCATAAGGGTCTGAATAAGTGAGTCTCTGACACTAATCAAGTATGAAGCGTATCTGGTCTTGCACCAGACAGAAATATTCACCTGTGATATCTTCTGCTCATTCTCATCCAATCGGATGAAAGAGTTTTTGCTATTGAAATTCCTTTCCAAGGAGAAAAGGATCTCCCTGAAATGTCATATGATCTTTTACTGGTTCAGTCCCAAGGGGGCCAAGAAGTACATGTGAATGTCCTCTCTCCAGTGGGCTGCAGCCTGTCTTTCCTTGCAATAAATACCGAGGAAAGAAAAGATGCCATAGAGAAATTCCTCTCACCAAGCAAACTGTACAGAAGTGGAGTTCTTCTTACCGTTAGAGGGGGAGCCCTGCCCATGAGAAACAGTTGGAGAATTTCTCCTTCTTCTGGACAGTGTAGGAGGAGAGTCGTGTTGTTCTATGGTGGCAAAAAATCAGGACTCCGAAAGCACCTTTTCTGACTAACAAAATGGATTAAAAAGCAGTTTTCATGAGCTCACAAAAGCTTCTGCCTTTTCATCAAATGTGTTAGTCAAAAAAGGTCCTATCAGACTCCTGATTCCTTCCCCTGGAAAAAGCCATCCCACTTCTCTGCCCACAGATTTGATGGAGAAGTTGGAAGAGCCATCTCCAAACCACCTCCTGCTGCTGATGCTGCTGATGCTGCTAATACTGCTTTTTGGACCCTCGAATCATCTCAAGGACAAGCTTGACCACATACCTCCTAGGAGAAAGAGAACTCCGGTGAACAGCAGAAGGCAGAACGCTTGGGTAAAGATGCCAATGAACCCCACAATTCCTCCAAAGATGATGAAGATGAGGCTTAGAGGCAACAGGATCACAAATGCCCCACGCATGTCTGGAAGGAGACACAGAAGCAGTCACTCACATCTGAAGTTGCTTCCTATTGCAATCCAGCTATGATACACTTAGCTGCAAATGCCGCATTTTCTTCTCTTTTATCCCTGATTCAGTTTCCCTCTATTCTCTCTTGCCTGAATTTTTAAACTGAAAGTCTTTGGGACAAGCAGCTCAGTTTGGCTGTAAAGTGCCATACCCAGAATTGTAGAAGCACTGCAGTAACACTGCTTCCATACACCAACCTCCAGTAGTTTATGCTGATGGAAATGTAGCCAAGACATGGCCAATGGCTCAGTGGAAATGGAGGACTCAGAGGAAACCTGAGTAAGAATGGAGCCCAACTTCCTCCTGATTCTGTCGCAAAACACCCTTTGGATTCACACGACCCTTAATTAAATCAGAGACTTAGTATTGGATTCACACAACATGCTAAACCTGGCTGACCTTAATTGTGGTTGCTTGCTTGCTTTTTTGGGCTGTAGCTTGGAGTATTCTGTGAACCAAGATTGTTGTATCAATGAACCCAGAATCCAGGTTATCCAGGGGAAGCTCACTGTTCAAACACAGTCGTTAGTGTGGGCCCCTGACAGGCTGTTTGTGTATTGGGGGCTGTTTCTGTTTGCATATTAGGAATTTCCTGTGTCGCTCCTGCTTATTCTGGTTTGATTTGATATGTGACTAGTTAAAAGTTGAACTATAGTACCCTTTGCCTCATTATAATAGTAAAAAAACACACCCTAGGAGTAAACATGCTTATTCTGGTTTGATTTGATATGTGACTAGTTAAAAGTTGAACTATAGTACCCTTTGCCTCATTATAATAGTAAAAAAACACACCCTAGGAGTAAACATGCTTATTCTGGTTTGATTTGATATGTGACTAGTTAAAAGTTGAACTATAGTACCCTTTGCCTCATTATAATAGTAAAAAAACACACCCTAGGAGTAAACATGAGATGCTAATGAACCACCCTCATGGCTTATTATGGAGTACAGAGTTGTAGTACACACCTTTTGTGATGAATGTTACCTGCTCATTGAAATGTACAAAAACCTTTGGACAATGCCTCTTTGCATGATCAATCTGGATTTTGGTCCCAAGTGCACCTCTTTGCTTCTGTACAGAGATAAAGCGTGAAAGCCTTCCCTCTACTCTGTGCGTAATTTGGCTGTCTCTTGCACTGGGTAAAAACATGCCCCAATCAGTTGGTCACCCCATGGCCAACATTAGCACCCAGAATGCAAGGCGGGATGAGCTCTTGGCCTATCTGGCAGGCTTCATCACATTCTTTTGCAGATATGCAATCAATCCTCCAGCTTGTTATGCAGCTGGAGAAAAAATACATTTGCAGCCAAGAAGCCAGATAGAGCCACAGAATGCTTTTGAATAAGACACGGATGGTGTAGGCTACATTACCACCCTACGTCACCCGTATCACATGCAGTAGTCCCTGCTAATGGTAGATACAATGTCACTTTTGCACATTTGGCCAGCAGGCCACAAGTGAAACCAAAGCCCAGTTTTACACCATGCAGGTTCATGCTATTCTGTGCAAGCTAGGATCTCTAATCTTGAGACCACCTTGCAAGTCAACATACTGTTGACAGTATTGCATGACCTTGAAAGGGTATGCATTGTCCTGTTCCCCTGTACAAAGAGTGAATGCAAAAAGTAGAGCAACATGAGTTTGTTAAGCGTGCCTGTGAAGAAGCTTGGCCGAATTCTAACTAAACAGGTATGAAAGATGACAAGAAGTAAAATTTGGGAAGTGCAGGATGGCTCTATGGGAGGTAGGAGGTGAGCAGACCAGATATTTGCTCTTGATCTGGTCCATGAGAAATACACGAATGACATTCATTAAATCAGAGAAAAAATAGGCTTGAATGTGGAACATTTTGCATAGATTTGGAATTGAAGTTTGGTTGGGGAATGCAGGAGGAGCCCTGTGTGATGGAAAGTAAAGCATCCATGAGAATAAATGCAATGCTTAACAAATGCATCATCAGGGAGTAAAACAAATATGTCCCTCTTTTTTCTTTTTTTTTTAATGAAATGCTTGTGGTGACAGAGGGGGTTAGTCAAGGATCTGAATGTACTTTTGTTTGTAAACCATGCTGTGCTGTTGCTTGAGACCCAAATGATTTGCAGCAACTATTAGATAAACTATACAATGCAATGAGACATTCAGATCTGAAAATTAACTATTAACTAATTATTACTTATTGATATTACTAATTTTATGGATAAAAGTAATTAATTATCACAAAACAGAGTAGTTGTTTTTAACTGACAAAATGGAGTGAACAAGGTACACATATATGAGGCAAAATTAGAGCAAGTACATGAACTTGTATACCGTGGTAGAATGTTGGAAACAGGAAGAGAAATGCAAAAGGAGTGAGTAATCTGTGGTTTGTTGTGAGGAATAGATGTTTGTTAAAAGAAGCAAACAGGGCTACTATAAAAGCATGCTTCTCCCCACTCTGTTATACTGAAGTGTGAGTTGGGCGTGTCAGATGAAACATAAAAGGAAGTTGAATGCAGTGGGAATGGATTGTTCTAGTGTGGTAAAGCAGGGAGAGATAGGATCATGAATGAATGAATGAATGAATGAATGAATGAATGAATGAATGAATGAATGAATGAAAATGAATGAATATGAACATTGAAGACAAAAGTGTGTGACCAGCATGAAAGAAGTATGTCAAGGCCGCATAGAGAGAATGAATGAAGATCAAACCACAGAACAAGTGTATGAAGGAAGACAGAACAGAAGGAGATGACTGGGAAAGTTGTGGTCGAATGGAGTTGGTGAGAATCTGAAAAAGAAAGAGATGGGAAGTTTAAAGAGGCAGAGCTTTGATCTCTGCCATCTTGACTTTTGTACCCCACCTAGCAAGGGAATACTGTGGCTGCTTCTTTCACTGGGTGAGCATTGGTGTTGAGATATACCCACATGAACTAACCCTCTGATTTGGGCAACTCAGCTAATGCGCCAGAGGGGGCAGCCGTGTTTGTGGGCAACAGCTAAATCGTCTGTGCTTCTCATAACAGGACTTTAACAACCAGCCAATTGACTGATTGTAGGAAGGACCTTTTGCGCAATTGCAGCCCAAATCTAACAAGCGCAGGGCTCTTGGGCTCAAATACTGTTTGACTTTAAGATGCTAAGAGATTACTTGTTCCCATAAATAAATAACAAAGAAACCACGTCCCAAATCCTCTGGATGGGGCTTTCCATCTGAGTAAACACAGAGTCACATTCAGCCAAGCACCTTGTGCAGCAGCTGGTTCTGTTTGCAATTTCTCCTTTGATGAAGAGAAGTTGCTACACTGAGATAATCATTAACCGCTAATGGCTAACCTGACATTCCTTGAAGCTCTCTCCTGTGTCCTAGGAGCCTTCAGCATGATGGCTTTTATCATTGGCTTTGTTCCCATGCAATTGCTTTTCCATTTGTCTTCTCTGACCCTTCGCCCCAAGGCCATTGTCCCCTGCCAGCTGCACAAACAGAAGGTTGCCAGGTGCCTTTGTGCTTCTCCTAGGTGTGTGTCTCCCATGGGCGATCAGGACTTACGCTTCCAGTTGCTTTCATTCCTTCTGCACCAGCCCAGAGCCTGGGAGGGGAACACACAGCAGTTCCTACTGCCTCTGAACAGGAATGAAAGGCAACCTATGTGTTTATTTTCCCAAAGACCCAGCAAGTAGCAATGGAGAAGGAGGAAGAGAAGACCCTGCTTTGGGTCACATAGAAAGAGGCACCTGGGTATTCCTTGCATGTGCAATCTTACCTTGCCATTCTACCACTTTTGTCATGGGGTAGCCACAAAGCCTGGAAAAATATCTAGTGTTTGTTTGTTTGTTTACAAGAAAGGAAGTGAGAGTTTTATTATGCTAACAACATCAAACTGATTCATGTTGTACCCCTTTTCTTCAGCTCCAAAGCACGTCTACATACAATGCTCACAGACTGGCAAGATGATGCCCAGAGTGCACTCACCGGTCTCTCTTTGTCCTACCTGACTTCAAATTTTAAGTGCTCACAATAAAATAAATGGAAGTTGGCTGGCTGTAAACCAAAGAATTTTACCAATTGACTAGTGGCTGGCCCACCAAGGTAGCCATCTTGAGACTACATAACCCACTCTGTGGTTTTCTATATGAGAACTGGAACCTGCCTCACTATTTAAGCAGCTGAAGTTTTTTTCCCCAGAATTTTGAACTGGCTTGGATTTCATAATGAATTAATGTTATAACCACAGTATTCTTACTGTAGAAATTGCTCGTCATCATCATCATTCAAATTCCCTTTTTTCAAAATTGACTTCCAGTGGAGGCATGGCAAGCAAAACACGTCTCCGTTGAGAGCAGAGATGATGACCACAGCAAAGACCAGAGAACCGGTAAGTAGACCAGTTCTTCAGAACCTCTCTGGACAAGGAGAGGATGGGAGATCACCTGCATGTGCTCTGGAAACCTGCTCCTCAAACAATAAACAAATTAAGAGTCCAAAGTTGGAATATTGAAACTTTAACTATAAGATTTTGGAACTAACTATATGAAATAAACAGCTTTTTGTAGGAACTAGAATTATTTTATCTACTGTAAGTCATAACGGAGATTAGAGATCTTATCATTTAAATTGGACACTACAGGGGACTAAAGATTCCAGGCAAAAAGAAAAAAAAAAACTATCTTTGGCTTTCATTCAAATTGGGATTTACAAAATGACACAAAACACTGTAACATTTGAAATATTAAAGGAAATCTTTGAAGAATGGGGACAGAAATTAGAAGCAACAATATCAACAGTATCAGTAACAATGTCTGCTTCTATGGATAGACTATGTTTAAAGGATGTTAATGAAGGAATGACAGATGTGAAACAAATCTTGCTTGATGCAGAAATAGTTGAATCAGAAATATTGGATTTTTAAAAAGTGGATTACAAGATAGAGAAGGTATTTAAAGTGGAAGTACAAGTGGCAGGCCAAGAGAATGACCTGGATAAGGACTCTTTACTGGATATACAGTACAAAAGAAGCTGATCGAAGTTTTGAAAATTAAAGGGGAAATGCAAATGATAAACCAAGAGAATGACCTGGACAATATAATTTTATTGGATTTACACAAGAGGCTTGTTAAAAGCCTCAAAGAAGCCTATGCGATGGGACAAAGAAGAATTGAAGAGAGATCAAACCCTACAATATTTGAATGAACTAAAGATTAAGATTTTCAGAGGTAAAAGGAAGGAATATAAAGTTGGTTTATTTGATCAAGGTTAAAATAAGGCATGTTTTTATGAAATTCTGGCAACCCTTTACAGACTTTTTGCTGACACCAGGATTGAAATCTACAATATTTGAATGAACTAAAGATTAAGATTTTCAGAGGTAAAAGGAAGGAATATAAAGTTGGTTTATTTGATCAAGGTTAAAATAAGGCATGTTTTTATGAAATTCTGGCAACCCTTTACAGACTTTTTGCTGACACCAGGATTGAAATCTTATGGATTCACTTAGAGATAAGGGATGAGTTATGGGAAGAAGACATATCTGTTTGTAACCTTATAGAGAGTGAAGAGCTACCAAATTTGTTTATATAGTAGAGTCTCATTTAACCGACCTTCGCTTATCCGGCATTCCGTCTTATCCGACGCCCCTAAAAAAAACACAACACGCATAAATCGGCGACGAGAAAAGCGTGCTGCTTGTTTGCGAGCGTGAGTGTACTCTTTCTTGTTGCTCCTGACAGTGCGGCGCCGCAACGCAAAAATTGATTGCAACAGGCGCAGCGGATCGTTTTTTTTCGCTTATCCGATGTTCTGCCGGCCCGTTTATGTCGGATAAGCGAGACTCTACTGTACTTGTGATGAAAATTGGAAGTCATTTCTTTATATATTTCTTTTCTTTTTCTTATTTCATACTTTCCTTTTTTTTTCTTTCTTCTTTTTTTACTTTTTCTTTCTTTACTCTGAATTTATTTTGTATCAGTTTTTATTACTGTAATTAAAATCTTTAATTAAAAGTATATATAAAAAAACGAATTCCTTTTCTAATTATTTGTACCATAGCGCTAGTCTGTTTTTTGTCAAAATAATGAAGATGCTTCTTGAGAATCATATTAAAAATGAGTTGAGAAAAAAGGGGATCACAGTTACCTTTCAAAACTTATTTCCATCTCATTCCAACATCTCAAATCAACTTTGCGTAAGTTGCAAATTGGACACTTATGGGAACATTAATCATTCCAAGGCTGTTGTGTTTACTTATTTGCCAGGCCAAACTGTAAAGGCAAAGATACCCTCAAGTTAAGCTCAACTCCTGGTGACAACATGAACACCTCTCTGTTGCTTCCTTGATGGTCTTGCCTACCACAGACCTAGTGGTCTCCTATCCAAGTACAAACCAGATCTAAACCTGCTTACTTTTTTCAAGATCAGCCAAAGCCAGCAAAGCGCATGCTGGCTGGGGAATTCTGGGAGTTGAAGTCCACTCATCTTAAAGTTGCTAAGGCTGAGAAACACTGCTTTAAAGAATTTCAACTTTTAAAATCCACAGGGCAAATGTTTTATTAATGTCTTTAACTATTGAATAGTTAATTTCATGACAACCCTGTCCCCTCTCTTTCCAATATTCAGGTGACAAATGCTGATGTTTCTTGGAGGAAAATGCCCCCTCCCTCCAGCCCTGCTGCCTCTTTGTGGATAAAATGCAATGTTCGATGCCATTTAACATGACACTGACACATGGGGGAGTCACAAAAGTTGAGAGAGCAGTGGATCATATGTACAAAGAAGCAGGCTTCTATCACACAGTCATGGCAGCCTTTTTGCCTTTTTCGGCCCCCGCTCACGGACCCCTTTGCTTCAAGTTTTCTAACTGGTCCCAAACTGAGTTGCTTCTGCCTTCAAAAAAAACCTCCAATTATTCTTTCTAGTGAATAAAACACCAGGGTTAGGGTTAGGGTGGGAAGGGAAGGGAAGGGAAGGGAGTGTTGGTAGACAATACTGACTTCACTGTATGGCAATTGCCATCCTGGTTGCAGAAAATACAATTTAGAAGCTACTTACACAGGACTTTCTTATGCGATGTGGTGATGTTCGTTGTCTCAAGTTTAAATGGGTTTACCAAAGGCAGGCATGACCTATTAACTACAAGAAAAGGGGAAATCATCAGACATCTGTTCAAACAATGGTTTTGGTCAATATTTTCCCACTTGGCACCATGGATTGATTAATCAACAAGCTTCGGGTTGATTAACCTGGCAATTAAAACAGAAGCCATGACATGCAGCCCCAGCCCTCCCCCCCAAATGTTCTCCACCCCATTATTAGAAGTGTTAGCAAGTTGTGTGGACGTGTATTGTCCAAAGTTGTTGCACCCAGTCAGGGCAATTATAAAAGAACCTAGTTGTAATATTTTTAGAAATGGCATGGTTGACTTCCTGCTGATTTCAACAAGAACTACATGGCGGGTTTGCATGATCGGCTTAACCTGATTACCAGATTAACCCACTTTGAGTTTGCACAGTCCACTGAACCACAAACAAACACGGTGATGGACAATGATGCGAGAGGATCTCTTGAAGGCCAAATGTAGGGAGGGGTGCAGGTCGCTTATCAGACTCAGCCCACAGGCCAGAGTTTCCCCATCATTCCAAACAAATGCCAAACCAGCAACAGACTAAACACTCAGTTGCAGAACAATATTTAAGAAAATGAAGATTCATTTGGTGGCACTACTTTGCTAGACTGTGCATCAGTGAACAAGCACCAGGGCAAAAAGTATAGGCTGTTCTACTTTTAAATAGCATTATGGCAAAAATGTCTCCTGCCTTTTTCTCCCCTCCCAAGTCTCATTTAATTTGAGGAAAGATTATTTATAGACTTGTGCAAAGGATCCAGCATAGGCAGATGCTAGCAACTCCTTAAAGGATCCATAACTTTTCCTGGACACGTGTGGTAGCCATGTGGGCTCAAAAAAAAAAATACTTGTTTGAGATCAGCAGACATTACAGGGCGAACAACTGCACAGCACTTAAATTGCATTAAATGAAGTTAAATCCAACTAAGTCCTATTGGCTTGGATCTGCATAAAACCTCCAGTAAATAAATAAATAAAAATAAATGAAATTTATTTTGGTTATCCGAAATGTATGTCAGTTCAACTGAAGTTATTTATCTTAAATTCATATTTATATTAAGTGATGCTAGCTTAACATTATTTGTGTCAATTTATGTAATTTGCATAAGTATGCCAGTGATGTAGATTGGTCTAAATGATATGTAGTAAATATAACAACCAGAAGACATGATGAAGTACAACCAAAAATATAACACTGCTAATAAAATCAGAAAAGAATATACAGAACAGTGATTTAATAAGTGACTTTTGCAGAAACTAAAAATATGTCCATAAAGTGTTAATATAGAACTAGCTCCATCCTATATAATAAATCTAGCCATATAAACCATCTATTGCTCCACCTTCTAAGTTTTGGTACAAGATGTTATTTCAATACAATAATATTTATATAATGTACTTAGATTCTAAACAGTCTATTATTTAGGTGCCTTAGAATATTGAATATAGATAAGAGAAAAAATGGATATTCTATCATTATTCATTACAGTTTCAGGTATGAATATTACAAGCATTATGATTATTTCTAAATGACTTAATTTTGTTTAACATGCATTGAGGAAAAATGGACTCTCCTTTCCCTAAAGCTGGAACTGAGTTGTTTACTGTATTTAACACCCAGAAACCACATTTCAAAACTGGAATGTTCTTTGTCTGAATAATCACAATAAAAATAATTCATTAAATATATATGCTGCCCATCTCCCAGGGACTCTGGGCAGTTATAGAACCCATGCATATGGGCTATAAAGTATAGGCGTATAGTTTCCTCATTCATAGTGCTCACAGTGTCCCAGTTCAAACTCGGAAGAAATGGCCTTTCAAAATCCTCCACCAAATATGTGAAGAAAAGGGACAAATGGCTTATCTGAATCCCTCCAGGGAAAGGACACAGTCCTGTTTAGGTGGTGATGGTTGCCCAACCACTGAACAAATGCTTGGAAGAAATTTCCTCCTGGTATTTCCCCTTGGGATTTGCAGAGAGGATTACACAATGAAAGATAAAACATCCATACACATTTCTTGGCCAGCTTGTCATTAAAGAGGCACGCCCCCGCCCCCGGACAAATTTTCCAAAATTCTCTTCTCCCTCCAAACAACTTCAAAACTAATTTCTCTTTCATCAGACTGAATGAAAACGGTTAGAAAAAATATCTTACTATTTTTGACCCTAAGGCCTGACAGTATTAGAAAAAGGCCATCTGCTCAAATGAATCTTGTTTCAAACCAAGCTGTAGTCACAGAACATGGTAACTGTTAAGCTCCGGGAACAAAACAGGGTGTGAAAAACTTATGTAAGTTCAGGAGAATTAACACGTATGTGTCCACCTGTGACAAAATGGGACAAAGTGTTTAGAGCTTCTTCCTCATTAGAATTAAAAACTTGTTTCTTCTCCTTTCACATTAAAGATATGCCTCAACCACATTGTTGGACCCCTTGGGAATCTAACCTTGGGAAGGGGTCATCCAGCTAAGCCAATTAAATATGGTAGTTCCTTGCAAAGACCCCCCGCCAACTTCCCAGGGAAACCCTGGAGATACTTACATTGACAGGTCCTCCAGAGTCCTGTATGGGAACTCAGGCTACCTGTATCATTGCTTAACTTCTCCAGTTTAGAAGCATCAGTTAGGTACCAAAAGTCTGTGCCAAGGGCAGCCACCAGGAAGGTGAAACTTAAAACACCCGCCAGGACTGCAAACACGGAGATGCTGTTCAGCGTAACTTTCATAGTGATGGCTACCATCTGTGTCAGCCCTTGAGATTGGATGCTCTTCTGCACTGGTCCTTAAGAGGAAAGGAGCAGAACTGTTGTGGACATCTCTTCCTTGCAAGCTAATCCTCTGGAGTTCCTCTGGATGTCCAGCGTTCCTGTCTGCAACGTTTCCTTAATTTTGCTGATGTGTAATCCTAATAATAGTTCGATAATATGCTGGTAGGTATAGTCCTGGACATAAATTCAAATCTGCCCCTTTTCTTTACTGACTCTTCCCTCTGTGGAAGATCATGCCCGGTTACTTTGGAATAAGGGAGGATGTTGACTAGCACCGGCCCTCACATTTCATCCAGTTGTCATGTGATTAAGTAAATACGTAAGATACTCAGCGCTAACGTTGCCTCTTACTTCATTCAAATGCCAAACGGCTCCCTAGCACACAACAAGTCTTCTTTTTTCCCTAGACGCAGTGACATGGAAGGAGACCCACAGGAGAGCAGCGATTCTCAGCACCACAGACAGCTCCTTAGGAGTGAATAGTGTGGGTCTTTTGATACTGAAAGAAGATGGAGAAAGGATTTGTAACAAGGGAATGTGTTGACCTGCAAAGAAATGGTTATGGCATTTTCACACACATTACATACACATATGCATCTTACACACTGAATCTCTCATTCTCTCTATCAATCTTTCTTGTATTTCCTAGAACCAGAATCAAATTGCTAAAGCTGACACAGATTACTGGGGTTTTTTTCATTCACAAGGGTTGGGGCAACTATGTCTTCCTCTCACAGATCAGTAGCAATCTCAGACCTGCACAAATCACGCTATGCAAGAGATACAGTGGGACTTTATACGTGGAGTGTGAAAAGACCTTTTCTTCACACATGTTTAAGTATCTAAACCATGCATATGAGAACCAGATTGATGCAATGGTTAGAGTTAAGGTTAGGGTTAGGGTTAGGGTCACCAGGCTAGAAACTGGGAGGCTGGGAGTTCTACTCCTGCCTTACACATGAAGCCAGCTGGGTGACTTTAGGCCAGTCACTCTCTCTCAGCCCTTGAAGGAAGGCAAGAGGAAACCACTTCCGAAAATCTTGCCAAGAAAACTGCAGGGAGTTCTCCATATTACTCAACGCTGACTCAAAGGCACCAAAAAAAAAAAAAAGAAGCATATTCAACTTCTATAGTTTAAGAGGTATATGTAGACCTTGCAGAAAAAACTGGAGAATGTTGCTGTAGTCAGCACAGAAAGTGGGCATAGCCAGAATAATTCTTATTAAATTCCACCCATTTTTAAAAATCACGTTTATTCCCCAGTCCTACCTAATCTGGTCCTAAAACAATTAAGTTAAACTTGCTTTACCAAAGTTTTGCAGCAGTTTTTTTTAATGATGGTACAACTTAAAGAAGAGGTAGCAAAGGGGAAAAAATGGGGGGAGGGGGAGGTTGTGCCCCATAATATTAATTTCTGTGATTCCCAATAATATAAAATAAGGACTGTGCTCGGTGATAAAGCTCAGCTTCTGAAACCTTAAAATCCACATTCCAATTAATGACATTCTGTCCACAGAAGGATAGAAGAGAAGAAAGATACTTTAAAAAAAGGCAAAGCAAATGACCAGTCATATATGGGGCAGAAATACATTTGGTCTGATTGGGTATTAAGTGAACTCCAGCAATTGTGTTTTACTCACCCAGGTTTAGGACTTGTGTTAGGAACCAAACCATCAAGAGTTGTGAGAACTGAAGGAATGAGCTGGTAGGGCAGAGATGCGCTGAAGGTTGGACTTAAAATTGTGGGGGATAGACGAGGACAACAGACATTGAAGCAGGATGCAACAGGGATAGGATCGTGCTGTGCACAAGAACTTTCTTGGTTTTGTGGATACAGGTCTTTTAAACACTATCTTTAAACCTTTTTCAGAGCTTAAACCACATTGGTTTCCTCCTCAAAACATAGCCACCGATTTTTGACCATTGTGGCCATAGAGGCCTCTATGGGTTGTCAAGAAAGAATTTAGGGGACATATGAAGAGGAATTATTCCAACAGTTTAACCAAATATTTGTTCATACTTTTAATTTTAGAAGGCACTCCTCAAAAAATCCCCAAAAAGGCAACTGGGGGGGGGGGGAAAAAAATATGAAAAAAAGTTTGAGAAACAGGGACAGTTGGAACATCTGCTCTGTAGAATAAAAGTCTAGAGCAGTGTAGAAAAATGTATGGACTTTTCTATGGTTGTTAAACTGCAATTTCATCCATGCAGCTATGTTAACTGGGGCTGATAGGAGTTGGTTCTAACAGATAAGAGCTGAATTTGCAGTAATGATAGTAACAAGCATTACAAACCACTTTAAGAAAAAAGGATCTACCTGTGAAAAACACCTGTGCAACAAGAGAGCCCTCCTATGCAGGAAAGAAAAATAGTCACTTCCAGAAAGAAAAAAGCAGAGTATTTTCAGTTGAGTACTCATCTGAATAAGATTAAATCTCATTTATCCTGATGTTCTTGAGGTTTTGGTGATGTTTATTAATAAAACTAATAAACCAGCTCGCTCCAGAGGCTCTAGGTAGCTACAGGTACAACATCAAACACAGCATAAAGCAGAAAATAACAAAAATGAACACTGTAAGCAATAACAAATAAGTTAATCACCAAAGATCTTGCAGAAAAACTAGGTTTTAACTATTCTCCGGATGGCCAGTGGGGGGTTATACATAGCCGTGGGGTTATAAAATGTTCTGGAAGAGGTTCCAGATGCTGAGAAGGCCGACTGATTGCCAGCAGTGCTTTATCAAATGGTTTTGCAATATTTAAGGATACAGGAGGAGACATTACATAAAAGCAATTTAAAAAAACCAGGAGCCAGCGCAAGTACAATTTATCTCAAGATAAGGAGAAAATTAAATGCAATCGGTCAGTGCAATCTCCTAGCACTCTAAGCAAATAGAGAAAGGCACAGATAATGATAGTTGCACAGAACACACCAGGAAGGAAGGCACAACAGAGATGGAGCTTAATAACAGGTTGGAAAATGAGAAGATCAGGGTGACAGATTTACAAGAGAGATGAGAACATCAGAGCAGTCCTGCAAGATCAGACGAAGGCCTCATTTTACCCACCCTCTTGGCTCCGCAGGAGATAACAATTCTGTCTGCAAAGAGTGCAAGAAACAGATTGCTTTCTCTTGCATTCTCCTCTCTGATCTGGACTACATCTACGCATAAGCCTTCTTTCCCATCCAATTGATTTGGATGATTTTCCAAGATGCAAAGCCAGTAACAGATTTATTAACACTTGCTGCCCTTGGCCAAGGATCTTGTTGAGTTTCTGATAAGCTTCCAAAGTGTTTCTTGTCATAGTTTTATTTTAGTAATGAGCTACTGAAGGATTTGCATTCTTGGAGGTAGAATATAATCAGACTAAAACACTTTAAATTTATAATAAGGGAGTGCCTCTTGTGGCCAAAAGACATTACCCTGATACCAAGCTTTAATGTTTTTTCTAATATCTAATAGATTATGTTCCACCCCTCAAAATATGTTTATATTGCTTCTGCTGCAGAATATGGAGATTTCTTGAAAATCAAGTCTTATAGCTTTGCAAAAATCAACACATCTACAGCACCTGCTTTTGGGAGCTACAGCACACCTCATAATCTGCAGCTAATAAATACCATGAAGCTATATTAAATGAATTAATTTTTAAGGTTCTCTGGGACTTGGTTATTTTTCAGAAAATGATGGGCTTCCTTCTGCAGGCCAGGAGGACCAAGAACTCAGTGTGGTTGGATTAGAGCATATTAAACTATAATGCAGGACTAGCTTCCATCTGTGTATGTCGTATAGTCAGTTATTCACTGTGCTATGCTAACAGGGCTAGCTGGGTATATTCAGTAAACCATAGTTTACTGTAAACCATGGGATTGTGTACAGGTAGTCCCCAGTTTAAGAACAGGTTCCATTCCCAAGGTCTGTCCTTAAACTGAATTTGTATGTAAGCCAGAACAGTTTTATTGTATAATACTGTATGAGTAGTATTGTGTAATGAACTCAAACCATTGTGTATTTAACCCAAATCATTGTGTATTTAATTCAAATTTTGCTACAATAGGCTCCATTCTTAACTATGGGTTGTCTGTAAACCAGGCATTCTTAACCCAGGGACTACAAGTGAAATACATTGGATTTTTAATTGCAGATAATGCAGCCCTTTCTCCAGACACTGGAAACTGCCACTGCATTTTAAAACTCCAAGTATAATTCCCTTAAATATCAAGGAAAGGAAAGAGCCTAAGTAACGCCATTTTGTTCAAGCAGGACTAACGTCCTCGTCCTTTCTAGGCCGGGGGTTGCCACAGCAACCCTGAAGCACGGGAGGAGGGCGATCCCTCTGAGGGCGGAGTAGAGCAGCCCGCCTTCTAAGGTTCCTCCGTCAATGATTGGTCAGTTCGCGCGATGGGCGGGGCGCTACAGAAGCGGAGTGTACAAGATAGGCGCCGGAAGTCGGAAACAGGAAGCAGCTGAGGACGAAACGAAAATGGCGGCGGGGGGATCTGGGGCC